GGGTTAAAAAAAAACCAGTGGGTACAGTAGATTTGATATTCCCCAGTTGAGATGTGGGTAAATGCCATATACCCCAAATGAGAACTCCCTTTACCCACGTTTACCCTTGAAGACACTATTGATAGCTAGGAAGCAGTATCTTGTTGGAAGACCCTGCCTTTCTGCAAATAAAAGGAAATTCCAAGACAAAAACTTTGTGACGCGAAAGATGTAGTTATTGATCCTTACATTCAAAGTCCATTTGAGATGTACATTTAGCAGGAGGTTTTGCCATTAGAAGAAAGATCCTTTTAGGCAGAGAATTTCTTCTTTAAAAAACTATGCAAATTGCCAGGAATATTGGGCTAGAGGGGCCAGCTTGTTGAGGAAGAATGGGCAAGAAAAAAAGGGCAGGCGTGTTGCCTTATATATCAGAAATGACTATACTCGTTCTGAGGTCCAGATGGATCCCTGTTGAAAGCCTCTGGGTGAAGGTAAAATCGGGGGAGGGTGGAAATAGGGGACAAGGTCATGGTAGGGGTCTACTGTAGATCACCAAATCAGGAGGTGGAAGAGACATTTCGAGAACAACTCACGAAAGATCCCAAGCACAAGACCTGGTAGGAATGGGGGTCATGAGCCACCCAAGCCAGCCACTGGAAAAGTAACACAAAACAGCCAATAAATTCTTGGCATGTGCTGGAGACAACTCTTCTTGGCACTGGTGGGGCTTCAGCTGACATCCCGTGTCCAAGTCTGGGCACTGCACTCTCAGAAAGATGAGGACAAATTGGAGCGAGTCCGGAGGAGAGCAACAGAAATGAGCAGAGATTTAGGAACTACCTGAAAGGGGATTCCCAAGAGGATGGCCCTAGACTGTTCTCAGTGGTAGCAGATGACAGAACGAGGAGTAATGGTCTCAAGTTGCAGTGGGGGAGATTTAGGTTGGATATTAGGAAAAACTTTTTCACTAGGAGGGTGGTGAAACACTGGAATGCGTTACCTAGGGAGGTGGTGGAATCTCCGTCCCTAGAAGTTTTTAAGGTCAGGCTTGACAAAGCCCTGGCTGGGATGATTTAGTTGGGGATCGGTCCTGCTTTGAGCAGGGGGTTGGACTAGATGACCTCCTGAGGTCCCTTCCAGCCCTGATATTCTATGATTCTATGGTCCTATGAACCCTGAGCTGTGAGGCAAGGTTGCAACCATTGGGCATGTTTCCGTATTGAGAAGAGAAGGTGGAGCGGGGACCTGAGAACAGGCGTCAAAGATGTCAAAGGCTGCACAGAGAGGATGGAGCTCAGATGTTCTCCACGGGGAAGGCAAGAAGTAACAGGCTTCGTCTGCAGCAAGGGAGACTCAGATATTAGGGGAAACTTCCTAACTTTGAGGCTCCTTTAGCCCTGGAACAGGTGACCGAGGAAGATGGTGGAATTCCCGTCACTGGGGGTTTTTAAGACCAGGTTGGGGACAAACACCTGTCAGGGCTGGTCTAGGGTTACTTGTCCGGCCTCAGCCCAGGGGATGGACTGGATGACCTTCCGAGGTCCCTTCCAGCCTGCGGTGCCTAGGGTCTTGTGATTAAAGTTGGCAGAGCGATTTGCCCGGCGAGGGGTTAGAGACGGGCATCTATCTTAGAACCCACCTGATGCTGGAAATGATGAGACGCGCATCTTCTCGTAGGGCAACGGCCACCCTTGCCGCTTGTGGTGGGTGTTGTGGAGCCGGCCTGAACGGACCCGCGACAATTGTCGCCCGAGCTGTTCCTAAGCGCTGCAAGCTCCCGCTGCCTTCGCAGCCACACCGGCCAGCGCCATCGCACCACGCGCGCTCGGGATGCGTGGTCTGCTGTCCCGCGGTGCCCCGCGCAGCTGCTCCACCGTCCACAGGCTGGGACCTCTTGGGCTGTGCGTTGCAGGATTGGAACTGTAGGGGGGTTGGGGGCCAAACCTAATCGTTCCTGCGACTCCTTTTAGGTCGGTTCAGCGCCGAGCCGGGATCAGCCGCGGCCGAACACCTTCATGGCAGATGCCCTCAGCCTGGAAAAGCGAATGGAGCTACCCATCAGTTGTCGGCGGTCGGCCGACCCGCTGGGTGCTGAGGATCGACCACCGGGTCTGCTCTGAGGGGCATGCTCTGCTGTGGAGAGGGGGCTGATGGCCTGGATCATGCACAGGAGGTTACTGGTGGATCTGAACGTCTTCTGTCCTCCTGCTAGACGGGGGCCACAGATGGGACCCAGTCTCTGCCCCGGCCCACCCACCCACCCACAAGGCCTCAGGGGTCATCCGGAGAAGAGGGTATATCCCCATGACGCTCTGAGGCCTGGTTGACCACCATGGCAGGTTCCCCAATATTGGGATGGTCAACAAAGGTCCGTGATGCGGAGACCTTCCGAAATGCAGCCCAGGAGAAAAGGGACTTTTGCTTCCAAGCTCACCTGGGGACCAGCTTCTCCGGCAGCTCCTCCGGCTGCTGGAGCTGTTCACGGGGCCCCCGGGCGGTGGGAAGGAGCTCTTCAGTTCTGCTCTGAGCGCGGGCAGGGCCGTGCGGGCTGCGGAGCCTGAAGGGTGGACAGAGGGACCTGGCGCTCAGGCTGGAAGCAGATCCCCCTCGCCCCACAGCGACTTGCAGAGAGCTGCACGAGCCTTGGACGGAGCTGGGGGATGGGCGGCTGGAAGCGTTCCTGGCTCTCGCTTTGGCTCCCTTCCTCGAAGACATGGGGCTGCATTCTCGGGAACAGCGTGTAGCACGCAGGAGGAAACAGAGACGCGCTTGAGGCTGGAGACAATTAGTTGTTGCAAGACTCCACCTGGTTCCCATCCCCGGCTCTGGGAGGGGAGTGGGGATTAGTGGGTTAGGGCTGGGAGCCAGGACTCCTGGGTTCTATCCCCAGCTCTGGGAGGGGAGTGGAGTCGGGTTGGGAGGGGGGCTGGGAGCCAGGACTCCTGGGTTCTATCCCCAGCTCTGGGAGGGGAGTGGAGTCGGGTTGGGAGGGGGGCTGGGAGCCAGGACTCCTGGGTTCTATCCCCAGCTCTGGGAGGGGAGTGGAGTCGGGTTGGGAGGGGGGCTGGGAGCCAGGACTCCTGGGTTCTATCCCCAGCTCTGGGAGGGGAGTGGAGTCGGGTTGGGAGGGGGGCTGGGAGCCAGGACTCCTGGGTTCTATCCCCAGCTCTGGGAGGGGAGTGGAGTCGGGTTGGGAGGGGGGCTGGGAGCCAGGACTCCTGGGTTCTATCCCAGTTCTGGGAGGGCAGTGGGGTCTAGTGGGTTAGGGCAGTGGGGGCTGGGAGCCAGGACTCCTGGGCTCTCTCCCTGGCTCTGGGAAGGGAGTGGGGGCTGGTGGGTCAGAGCAGGGGGGCTGGGAGTCACAGCTACGCAGGACTGGAAGGGATCTCCTGGATTGTGTAGCCAAGTCCTTTGCGATCACAGGCCACCCCGTCCTCTCCACCCCTTCAGAAACCGGCCGCGCCCCATCTTCGGCCTACTCAGGGCGTTGGCTCCCATTGGGAGGCTCTTCCAGACTCTGCCTCCCCTGGAGCCTTCTCCCCATTTCCAGGCCCACCAGTGTCAGCGTCTCCATGGCTCCCCCTCCCCTCCCACCGCGACGTGCCCTGAATGAGCTGCCACCCCCCACCCCACCTCGGCCCTTGGTCCAGGCTCACAGAGCCCAGCGCCCTGAGTCTCCTCTCGTGAGGCCGGCGCTCCGGTACCCTGAGCACCCCAGCAGCTCCCCTGCACCTTGCCCAGCACAGGGCCTCTTTGCCAAATGTGGGCACCAGGACTCCTGGGTTCTCTCCCCAGCCGTGGGAGGGGAGTGGGGTCTAGTGGGTTACAGCAGGGGGGCTGGGAGCCAGGATTCCTGGGTTCTCTCCCCAGGTCTGGGAGGGAAGTGGGGTCTAGTGGGTTAGAGCAGGGGGGGCTGGGAGCCAGGACTCCTGGGTTCTCTCCCCGGCTGTGGGAGGGGAGTGGGGTCTAGTGGGTTAGAGCAGGGGGGGCTGGGAGCCCAGACTCCTGGGTTCTATCCCCAGCTCTGGGAGGGGAGTGAGGGCTAGTGTTTGGAGCAGGGGGGGCTGGGAGCCAGGACTCCTGGGTTCTCTCCCCGGCTCTGGGAGGGAAGTGGGGTCTAGTGGGTCAGAGTAGGGGGTCTGGGAGCCAGGACTCCTGGGTTCTCTCCCTAGGTCTGGGAGGGGAGTGAGGGCTAGTGTTTTCGAGCAGGGGGCTGGAAGGCAGGACTCCTGGGATCACTTTGGAGGGGGAGATATTTCAACCCCAAATTCCTGAAAGATCTGAGCAATGAGCTTAGCCCAAGAGCCGAGGCAGGAAAATGATGTAAAGGGGTTTCAGATAAAATCAGCCCGTTAAACCCAAAGTTGCAAACTTGGGTGCTTCAGTAACGGCCACATTTCTTGCCAATAACGGAGATCTTGATAACCCGTTTCCCCCCCCCCTGCCCCCAGCCCAAGAGCTTCCATTAAAACCCCACAACCGGATGAGATCTGGAGGAAGCAGACAGAGAGCGGCAGGTAAGAGATCACCCCAGAATTACCAACCCCAAACCAGGAGTCCGGCTCAGCAGAACTCATGAGATTAGCTTTCAAACCATGAGATTCTGTAAAAACAGTGAGATTTCTGGCGCTTTTGATTTGCTTTCGGAGCCTCTAGGGTGCACTGGGGTCAGGTCCGGAAGCTTTCTCCACCACCACCAGGGCTGGAAACTGAGTTTTCCTTTACGAACGAAGGCTGAAGTCATCACGTATCCACCTGACTCCAGGAGCTGGGGCTTTATGGGAAACAAGAATTACCATGAGACTCATGAGAGTTGGCCAAGCTGTAACCCGCCAATAGAGGCCCCGGGTCCCATTCCCCACCCCCTGGAGCCAGCCAGTCCCCTGCCCTGGGGCAGGATGGGAGCCGGCGCCCCCTAGAGGAGAATGTTCCTACATGTCTGGCTAGTCTGACTCCTGCTCATTCTAGTTGTTTCAGGGGAAGCCCCTCAGTGAATTATTCGGGGATCGGATACCAGGATGTCCCCCGAGAAAGTCGCCCTCCTGCTTTTCACGGCCGCTTGGGTGCTGCCTGCTGGAACCTCAGAGGTAAGTGGCTTCAATGCAATATCCCTGCCCCGCCCCAGAGGTGGCTGCATCTCTGTGCCGAGCGAGCCGTCCCTGTGCAGTGTCGCTTTGCAGCTGTTCTCCAGTTGCCCTGCCCCAGAGGTGGCTGCATCTCACACATCCCACACCGACGTCCTGAAGAACCGCGGATGCTTGGGAAAGTTGCAGGGAAAATCTCAGGCTATGGCTTCTAGTGGTTTGTGGGGCGGGAATCTGGGAGCCAGGACTCCTGGGTTCTCTCCCTAGCCCTGGGAGGGAAGTGGGCTTGAGTGGTTAGATCAGGGGGTCTGGGAGCCAGGTCTCTTGGGTTCTCTCCCCAGCTCTGGGAGGGAAGTGGGCTTCAGTGGTTAGAGCGGGGAGGGGGCTGGGAGCCAGGACTCCTGGGTTCTATTCCAGTGACACCCCCCATTTTCCAGCAATCTATAAAACGTAGGTAACCACTAGAGGATCCCTCCCCTTAGCTGAGATCAGTGTGTTGTCCTGCTATTCAAGTGCGGGACAGGGGGCCTGGCTGGAGCCAGGGCAGAGCAGGGGAGGGGGAGCGTGGGGTCTGGCTGGGAGGACTAAACTCAAGGGGGTGAGAGGGCTGGCTGAAGGGGGCTGGCTGGAGAGGGGGGCGAGGGACCAGCCTAGGGAGGGGGGCCAGGTGGAGTGAGGCATGTGCCAGGCACTGCAGAGACACACGCCAGATCTACACTTAAAATTTAGATCCCCCTTGTGCTGTCACTCAGGGGTGGAGGGGTGAAAAATTCACACCCTTCAGCCCTGTCCTTAAGCCAACCCACCCGCCCGTGTAGACGTGGCTAAGAACTCTTCCCCGGCCCTTGTTCCTGCTTCTCGGAGAAGGGGGAGTCAGACGCGTCTTCACTACGATGCTGCAGCGGTATTCCCTGCAGCGCCCGGAGCGTAGCCACGGCCCCCGTGAGAGACAGGCCTGGGTCCAGATTCACCCCATTGATTACGCTCGTGCCCAAGGACCAGCCAGGTGCTGAGGTCCCTCGAACTGGTAGACCCCACTCCCCTCCTAGAGCTGGGGAAAGAACCCAGGAGTCCTGGCTCCCAGCCCCACCTCCCCTAACCCATCAGACCCCCCTCCCCTCCCAGAGATGGGGATAGAACCCAGGAGTCCTGGCTCCCAGCCCCCCTTGCTCTAACCCATCAGACCTCACTCCCCCCACAGAGCTGGGGACAGAACCCAGGAGTCCTGGCTCCCAGCCCCTCCTTCTCTAACCCACTAGACCCTCACTCCCCTCCCTGAGCCGGGGAGAGAACCCAGGAGTCCTGGCTCCTAGCCCCCCCTGCTCTAACCACTATACCCCACTCCCCTCCCAGAGCTGGGGACAGAACCCAGGAGTCCTGGCTCCTCCAATACCCTCCCTGCTCCGACCACTAGACTTGGCCATTCCCGTCGCCATCAGCCCCCCTTCTCCCCAGCTTGAGCGAGCGGAATGAATTCGTTCTGCCGTAAATGACGTCACCCTGCGCCTCGTGTCACGTCTCACCATGAGCCGAACCCTCTCCTAGGCCAGCCCCCCCCGGGACCTGCATGGGAGCTGGAAACCCCCCACTGGATTTGGTCTCCTCCTCGGTGGACGACCTGTACCGAGGCTGCGAGTACCCCATGTGGCAGCATCTCCCGTCCCTGATGAAAAAGGAGCTGACCGAGAACGAGAACTTTGACCTGGCTTGGAACACGGCCAAGAAGGAGTGGCTGAGGAAGACGAATACGTTCATCTTCCCCAACACAATGAAAGCTTTCTGCAGCGTCGCTGTGGTTGCCTACACCTTAAACGACCCGCCTCTGTACAAGGACTTCAACACGGCCACCAGGACGGGCTGGACGGGATCCCCTGCCTACGCCAGCTACCCCTTCAAGGCCTTGCATTTCCTGCTGACCCAGGCGTCCAAAGAGATATGGGGGATAAAGCCCAGTTGTGAAACCGTCTACAGAGGAGCCAACGTAAAATTCTCCATCAGCCGCTTGTTCCGCTTCGGCCAGTTCACCTCCACCTCAAAGAGCTCGAGGGTGGCGGCCGGATTCAGCCAAAAGACCTTCTTCGTGCTGGTTTCCTGCACGGGGTACGCGCTTCGGGACCTGTCCCACTACCTTAAAGAACAAGAGGTCCTGGTGCTGCCCTCCGAGATGTTCCAGGTCACCAAGGTCCAGCTGAACGAGCAGGGGCAGACTGTCCACGCCAAGTCGGTGGGGGTGTGCAGCAACCACAACTGCGCCTACGTGGGGAGAGGTGAGGAGGGGGAGGCAGGAGGGACGTGAGCTATGGAGATCCACCAGGGTCTTAAAACCAAGCTGCAGCTCAGGGGGACAAGGGGCCTTTCCCCGCGAGGGGGCACCGGCTCCAGTCCAGCCGCAGGGCCGGGGACAGGGTGTCTTGGGGTGACAAGGAAAATTAAAAGCTTCTTTTCTATTTTCCAGGAGACCCCAATGTGAAGAGATGCCCTCCTCACCAAGGTACGAGGGGCTCACCCCTTGGCTGGGCAGGCTGTGTGTGGGAGGCTAGAGACAGTAGATACAGGACTCCTGGGTTCTGTCCCCAGCTCAGGGAGGGGAGTAGGGGCTAGTGGGTTAGAGCAGGGGGCCTGGGATCCAGGACTCCTGGGTTCTATCCCTTGACTCTGGGGGGGAGTGGGGTCTAGTGGTTAGAGCAATGGGGGCTGGGAGCCAGGACTCCTGGGTCCTATCCCCAACTTGGGGAGGGGAGTGGAGGCTGGTGAGTTAGAGCAGTGGGGGCTGGGAGCCAGGACTCCTGGGTTTATTCCCAGCTCAGCCACTGACTCGCTGGTTGAGTTTAGGCACATCCGTGTGCCCCAGTTACCCCCCACCCCACGCCGGGGGAAGAATAGAACTGCCCCAGCTGTGCTAAGTGGGGTCTCGGCTGTGGCTGGGGGGTGTCCTGATGGCTAACGTGGGGCATATCTGCGTCTCCCCACAGTGCTGCATTTGTGAGGCGCCGGAGCAAGGAGGGGCAGCAGTGACCCCAGGGATGCCTTTAGCCAGGAGCTCCAGGGATCATCGTGTGCATGGCCTCGTCTACCTAGGCGGGCAAAACTTCCCCATCTGCTTTCCCGCTGTAACCAACGGGGAATCACTCTAGCCAAACACACCTCTGCTGGCTTCCCGTTAAGCTTCTTCCCTCGCGGGTCTGCGTTTTCCCCGACAGCTGTGCCCCATCCGGAGCCGGTCTCCCCCGGTGCTCGGCCCTGTACCCGGCCAGGATTTTTCCCAGGGTGCATTGCGGGAGGACAGGAAAGTAGAGCGAGACCGAAGGGGCTCAATCTGCAGCCAGGGAGATGGAGGTTAGATCCCGGGAAAAAACTTTCCAATGCGCAGGGTAACTCAGCTCTTAGCGTCCCAGGGCGGGGGTGGGCTCCCCGTCACTGGAGGTTTATAAAACAGGCTGGACAAACCCCCTGTCAGGGCTGGGCTCGGGTTCCTTGGTCTGGTCTCTGCGCAGGGGGCCGGGGGGACCTCTTGGGGTCCCTTCCAGCCCGACATTTCCATGATTCTCAACCCACTGGACCCGAGGCAGATTATGATTTATTGGGGTCCTGGGCACAAAGAACATTGCCCCCCCACAATGCCCTAAGAGCCACCTGTGGCCACTGTGAGGAGCCCCGGACCCTCCACCTGCCCTGGGCAACACGCCCCGGGGGGCCGGGGACATGGGGCAGGGGCTGCTGTCAGGCACCACAGCCCTCCTCCCAGGGCAGGCGGAGAGTCCAGGGCGCCCTGAGCAGGTCTTACCATGGCCCGGCTCTGGCTTCTGTCCTGGCCAGGGGGCGGGACCTCAAGGGAAAGAGGGGGAGCAGGGGGCGGGGCCACAGTTTCAGTGCCAGTGCCCCCACACACACACACACACTTCTACACAGGTCCCAGGGCCCCCAAATTGGCCAGGACCCCTGCACTGGACTTCTGGGAATTGGGATCAAACTAAGCCAGGCTTCCTCTACGGGCATCCTGTAATTTACCTGCTCCCCTCCCACCACCGTCAGGAACCTCTTCCCCCTCCGATTGCTACTGGCCAACAGCCAGCCGGCTGGGCGTCGGTAGATCCACCATCGGGGTACGCCTATGGAGAGCCTTGGAAAGTTGGGCAGTGCATAGCGTTGCCAAACCTCCAGGATTGTCCGGGAGACTCCGGGGAATTAAAGGTTCCTCTTGATTTGATGATTATCTCGTGTGATGAAACCTCCAGGAGTACGTCCAAACCAAACTGGCAACCCTAGCTTGTTTCCCATAATGCTTGTGGGTTTGCCCCATTGAGGTTCTCCAGTTGTATGAGGGCCATTGACGGGACCCGAACCCTAACCCTAACCCTCATCAGCAGAAAGCCCTGCAAGCTCTGGGTTCGTAGGTTCCCAGATTTCCAGGCCAGCAGGAACCGTTGTGGTCATCTGGTCTGACGCCAGCCAGAGAACTTCCCCCAAGCAAGTCCAATCTGAGTTAAAATGGTCAGCCATGGAGGCTCCACCACGACCCTTGGTTAATAGCTCCGATGGTCCATTCCCCTCATGGTCAAAAATGTACACGGTCTTTCCAGTGTGAATTTGTCCAGCTTCAATTTCCAGCTATTGGCTCGCATTAGACCTTTCTCGGCTAGATTGGAGATCAAACATTTGCTCCCCACATAGGTCCTTATAGACTGGGATCAAGTCCCCGTCCCCGTCCCCCCCCCCCCGGAGCCGCTCTTTGCTAAGCTAAATAGATTGAGCTCCTTGAGGCAAGTTGTCTAAGCCATCACTCGCACTCCTGGCTCTTCTCTGGCCCCTCTTCAACCGATCCAGTTGATGCTCATTCTCTTTCCGTATCTGCCCCTACAATAAACACGCCCTCATTGCAATGTGTTTGGCTTTCTTTAGCCCCTGCCGCGCTGCCAACCCACGCCAGGGGGAGGAGAATTGGAGGTCACCACGTTTGATCCTTCATGGACACGAGCCCGTTAGAGGTTCGCGGCCGTGGCGCGGAGGCCGTCGAGCGTACCAGCTGGGGTAGGGGAGCGAGGAAAGTCGCGCTGGACAGGGAGGTGCCGGGTGTATGACTGGGCCTAATGGCAAAGGGTGGATACACTGCAGCCCCTAGCAGTAGACTCTGTTCCCTTTATCCAGCACGGCTGTTTTCACTCCAGAAGCTCTGGGCTTGGTCTGCTGCTACCCTCTTAGCCCAGGCCCTGAGGGGCTTCAGGAGTATAAGGGCATGAAGAAGGAAAAGGAAGAGGGTGACGGGCCGGCTGGCTCGGGGGCTGGGGAATAGGACATGGGGTTTTGCTTTTCTAGGGGGCATTGGCTTCAATCCAGCCTCCAAATATTGGTGGGGACCAGCCACCGGGACCCATATCACCTGGTGCCCATGGAAGACAGGCGGCTCCGAGGTGGCATGGCCCTGACGGTACTGGGATCAAAGATAGCTCAGTGGTTTGAGCATTGGCCTGCTAAACCCAGGGTTGTGAGTTCAATCCTTGAGGGGGCCATTTAGGGATCTGGGGCAAAAACTGGGAATTGGACTAGATGACCTCCTGAGGTCCCTTCCAACCCTGATAGTCTATGAAAGTTGTTTAAATCTAGAGCTATGAAACAAACAGCCCCGAGACTCAGAGAAGAGAAGGAGCAAAGGAATTTGCTACACACGATCTCCATCTAGTGGCGAATGATGCAAGGAGCAGAGCCACCTAAGAGCCAGGGGATGGGTAGAAATAAAGGGGTGACCCTCTCCAACGACCGCTGAAACCGGTGTGCCGGCAGCTCCAAAGCCCGGGTTCAATAGCTGGGGGTGCCTCTTAAGCGTACAGAAGAAAAACCCTGGGAAAGCTGGCACAACTAAACACCGGCCCTGGTATTTGGGGCTGCTGCCCTTTGCCTCAGTTTCCCACCTTGCAGGGACCCTTCCGTTGCACCTCACTTGCCGTTTGTTGGCCAGAGTCCCAGCATCCAGGGGTGCATCCGGGCAGGTTGCAGGGGGATAGAAGAACATAAGAACGGCCAGACTGGGTCAGACCAAGGGTCCACCTAGCCCAGTGTCCCGTCTGCCGACAGTGGCCAGGGCCAGGTGCCCCAGGGGGAATGAACAGACCAGGGAATCATCCAGTGATCCATCCCCTGTCACCCATTCCCAGCTCCTGGCAAACAGAGACTAGGGACACCCTCCCTGCCCATCCCGGCTAATAGCCATTGATGGACCTATCCTCCATGAATCTACCTCGTTCTTTTTTGATCTTTTTCTTCATGATCGCTCTCTCTAAACACATCAGAGGGATAGACACCAGGGACGGGGAGGAGTTATTTCAGTGAAGCGCCAACGTTGACCCAAGAACAAACGGCTCTAACCTGGCCGTCAACGAGTTTCAGCTGAAATTAGACGAAGGTTTCCGACCATCAGAGGCGTGAAGTTCTGGAGCAGCCCGCCAAGGGGAGCAGAGGGGGGCAAAAACCCTACCCGGCTTCAAGACGGAGCTTGATCAGTTTAGAGAGGGGACGGTCTGAGGGGACACGTAGCCGATCTGTGACTGCCCGCTGCAGATCTTCTTAATTTGTTTGGTTTCCTTCAATTCGCCCCCCTCCAAAACAAAGAAGTCGGTGAAATTGGCAGGATGTTTCGCACTCACCGAATCTCCATTTTTTCCCCCAGAATGAAAAGTTTGGTGTGAAAACTTCCGCTCGGCTCCAGATGCAAACGTTGCTCTGGGCCCCCTCGGGGGGCTGGCATGCTGGGCAGAGAGAGAGGCCGAGCCCCGCGCCAGCCGCTGGGCGTCGGGCGCACCTCTCCCTGGCCCGCGTGTCCAAAGAGCGGCCACGCGGGAGGTGAGTAGATCTCAGGGGTTCATTTCCCCCAACGATTGAATCCTGCCGCTGGCGACGGAATCGACGGTGCTTCTGCTGCCCCCTCGCCCCCCACACCCCGCTGGAGCCCTGGCGGTTAAAAACCACCCAACACATTGCAATGGGGGCGTTTATTGCAGTCGCAGGTAGCGGGCTGGGGCATATGAGGGTGGAAAGGTCACAGCCACACAGCCTCGTACACAAACACACACACACACAGACGGCCCTGATTCCCTCCAGCAGGGAGCAGCGCTGTTCACACCCACCCACACACGATGCTCCACAGAGCTGCTGGCTAGAAGCATCCCGGGGGCTGCTGCTTGCACCGCACAAATACAGCACTGCGGGGAGACACAAGCGCACGCCACATTAGCCGTCCGCACACGCGTCAGCCACAGACCCGCCCCCCACACACACACACACGCGGCACTTTGCCCAGCTGGATCGGTGCCAGTGCCCTCCGGCACAGCGGGGGAAACTGAGGCACAGAGGGGGCAGAGATGCCCCCAGACTCACCCAGGGAGTCAGTTGCAGAACAGGGGAAAGAACCCAGGTGTCCTGATTCTTAGCCTCCCCACCACAACCTCCTGGACCCCACTCCCCTCCCAGAGCTGGGGATAGAACCCAGGAGTCCTGGCTCCCACCCCCCCTACTCTGACCCACTAGACCCCACTTCCCTCCCAGCACTGGGCAGAGAACCCAGGAGTCCTGGCTCCCAGACCCTGCTCTAACCACTAGACCCCACTCCCCTCCCAGAGTCAGGGAGATGACCCAGGAGTTCTGGCTCCCAGCCCCCCTGCTCTAACTACGAGTCCCCACTTCCCACCCAGAGCCAGGGAGAGAACCCAGGAGTCCTGCAAGTAATTGTCTCAAGCCCCACGCACACCCCCTGTCCAGCCAAGGGATGAGCCCCCACCCTTACCCCCGTACCTGGGTGATCAGGGCAGTTCATTGTACTGTTCCCTTCTGGGAAACAGAAAATAGACCATTAATTTTCCCTGCCCCTCGAGCCAGCTAGTCCCCTGGCCTGGAGTGGGATAGCAGCCGGTGCCCCCTAGAGGGGAAAGGCCCTGTGTCCTATTCCTCACCCCACCCCACCCCAGGGCCAGACCTGAGCTGTCACCCCCTAGGGGCTAGTTTTTTATCTCCCTGGTGGCCTTCCATAACTCACGTCCCTCCTCGCGTCCTCCCCCTCACCTTTCCCGCAGTTATGGTTGCTGCAGACGCCCACCGACTTGGCATGCACCGTCTTCTCCCTTGGCGTCTCCTTAACCCCGGTGACCTGGAACATCTCGTAGGGCGGCACCACCGTCCCCTCTTCCCATGGGAAGCGGGACAGATTCCCCACCGGGAACCCCTGGCACGAGACCGGCACGAAGAAGGTCATGTGTCCAAATTCCTCCGCCGCCTGCCTCTTCTCCGAGGTGGAAGTGAACTGACCGAAGCGGAACAAACCCTGGATGGAGAACTTCACCTTGGTTCCTCTCTAGACTTTGGCACAACTGGGCTCCTTGGTTCCTAGCCTCTTGGCCGCCTGGGTCAGAAGGAAATGCAAGGACTTGAAGGGAAAGCCAGCATCTGCCTGGGGGCTCTTCCATGCCGTTCTGGCCGCCAGGTTGAACGACTGGTAGAGGGGTGGATCTTCCAAAGTGTAGGCCAAGACACCAACGCTGTAGAGGGCCCTCAACGTCTAGGGGAAGATTGCTTGGTTCTCCATCTGCAGCCACGTCTCCTTGGCTTGGTCCCACGCCTCACGGAAGAGCTGGTTCTCCTCCAGCTCCTCTTCCAGCAGGGATGGGAGGCGCCGTTTCATGGCCTTCACGCAACCGCGGTAGACGTTGTACAGGGAGTTAGGGGCCAAGTTCAGGATGGGGTTCCCCTCCGCCGTGCGGACCTCATCGGGGCTGGGCTGGAACAACCGGCAGCTCAAGGTCAGGCATGACCCTTAATGCATAATGCTTCAGAAATGACCCATGCAGGGAAGAACGGGGACTGCACACAGGGCATTGCTGCTGAGGGGAATTTCCAGCAGTGGGGCCTCGTGGTTAGAGCTGGAGAGGGGACTGGTTTCAATTCCCAGATCTAGGAGGGGAGGGGACTCTAGGGAGCTAGATTGGGGTGGGGGGTTGAGAGCCAGGACTCCTGGGTTCTCTCCCAGCTCTGGGAGGGGAGTGAGGTCTAGTGGTTAGAACAGGCAGGGCTGGGAGCCAGGACTCCTGGGTTCTATCCCTGCTTCTGCCATCACTGGGTGACTGTGGGCAAATCTCCCCATGTTTCTGTGCTGTTGTTTCCCTTCCCACCCTTCATCTATTCAGACTGGCAGCTCTTCGGGGCAGGGCCTGTGTTCGTGTTGTGCCTGGCACACCGGGGGCCTCGATAGCTCCCCTGGGGTCTGGGCGGCACCCAGTGCAATGGGGCTCCTCCTGGTGGATGGGGCTTTCTGGTGCTTCTCCAACACAAATTATATCAGCAAGTGGCCAAAATCTGCCTTTTACAGATTGCTGGAAATTCAAGCACAGAATGTTTCAGCCGCCTCTGGGGTGGGACAGCTGGGGAACAGCCGCACACAACGTCGCACAGGGATGACTCATCCAGCACTAAGAGGCAGCCACCTCTGGGGTGGGGCACCTGGGGAACAGCCGCACATAACATCACACAGGGATGACTCATCCAGTACTAAGATGCAGCCACCTCTGAATCATAGAATCACAGAATCATAGAGTATCAGGGCTGGAAGGGACCTCAGGAGGTCATCTAGTCCAACCCCCATCTAGTCCACCCCTCTGGGGTGGGGCACCTGGGGAACAGCCGCACACAACATCACACAGGGATGACTCACCCAGCGCTGAGATGCAGCCACCTCTGGGGTGGGGCACCTGGGAAACAGCCGCACATAACGTCACACAAGGATGACTCATCCAGTACTAAGATGCAGCCACCTCTGAATCATAGAATCATGGAATATCAGGGTTGGAAGGGACCTCAGGAGGTCATCTAGTCCAACCCCCATCTAGTCCACCCCTCTGGGGGGGGCACCTGGGGAACAGCCGCACACAACGTCGCACAGGGATGACTCATCCAGCACTAAGATGCAGCCACCTCTGGGGTGGGGCAGGGATATTGTATTGAAGCCACTTACCTCTGAGGTTCCAGCAGGCAGCACCCAAGCGGCCGTGAAAAGCAGGAGGGCGACTTTCTCGGGGGACATCCTGGTATCCGCTCCCCGAATAATTCACTGAGGGGCTTCCCTTGAAAACCCCCAAAATGACCAGCTCAGACTAGCCAGCCACGTAGGAACGTTTCCCTCTCAGGTGCACCAGGTCCCACCCCGCCCCGGGCAGGAGACTGGCTGGCTCCGGGGCAAGAAATGAGGCAAGGGGCCTTTCCCCTCTATGGGGCGCCAGCTCCCATGAGGCCCCAGCCCGGGGCACTGGCTGG